AAAAAAAAAAAAAAAAAGGGTATTATGGGGAAAAAAAAAGCATAATATTTAATTTTTTTCCAACCATCCTATATAATGTAATGTGGAAGCTGCTAATTGCCAGTATAGAACAGTGCAGGGAATTTGGAAGGCAACACCAAAGTTCCCTTCTCTGTTAAGTTCCTCACATTTATGTAGCAATTCCCATCAAGTGTTGAAGATTCTATATATTATTTAGATACAAATGTGATAAACATTTAAAACCATCAGGATTGTACTAATCTCTCTAACAGGATTCTAAGAGAAAAGTGGTGTGAGGAGAAAAAAAACGGAAAGAGTGAAATATTCCTGGTAATTTTCCCACAGAGAAAAATATTGCTCTGTTTGTGATAGCCATGTATTTAAAACCAACTTCTGCTCTTCTCGAAGTGGCCAATATTAATTTACTAACAGGCCAGAGTGGGAACAATACATTGGATGTATTCTGCACTGCAGCTATTGCTCTACACACTACTTGTCTAACACGCACCACAAAATCAATACAAAACACAGTCCGCTGAGGAGGGAAGGGGGTATTTATGCAGGCAAATTAAAATATGAAAGCTGAAAAAAATCTCACTGCAATCAAAAGAGTAAGGGTACACTTTATTAAATAAAATACTATTTTATAGGCCGGCCATACAACTAAATGTATTTTTCAGCAAGCATTTCCTTTTCTGTAATTTTCTTTTTTTTCCTTTTTTTTTTTTTTCCCCTTTTTATATGTTTGCCATTTTTTATGATAGTTTTTTATCCCATTGTGATAATTATTTTAGGTATATGGAGAATATGGAAATTATAATGAGATCCTGCTGGAAGCAGATGTAAGAGTTTTAAAATTAAACATTCAGAAAACACTGGAAACATTTAAGAATCTACAAAGGGTATCATCTGATTGTAGTAGATGTTAAAATAAACAAATAAATAATCCCACTATTCTAACATTAACCTCCTGCCACTGGATGGTGTCAGAGAACTGTAAACAGAATCCCATACACAGGCTATCAAAATAACCTGCCCTTCACCTACACTGTAGCCAACTGAGAAACTGAAAATTCACAGGACTGAAGGCTGTAAGGCTTCTGTTGTTGTTGCTGGGTGGGTTTTTTTTTGGTTTTTTTTTTTTTTTTAAACCTGGACTCTATTAAGGGAATGGCTTTCTAACAAGTTTTTTCCTTCTGACATGTATTACTGTCAATTACACTCCATGGAAACCCATGTAATTTTATCAGCATATACCTCAGGCCTTTTAATCTAAATATCCTCCTCCTGAAACCTGGGTTCTGAAACAACCCCTCTGTCTGTGTACAAGCAATCTTTCACATTTACACTTTTGTCACCTTGAAATCTCTACTATCACTAGCAAAGTGGATCTATTCAACATATTAGCTAAAAAGCCTAACAATAAATATTCTATCTAAGTGTGCTTCTATAAATTGTAAGATTCTACTACCACACATTGTCACAAATGAGTCAAGAGGACTATGTAGTGAATGAAAACAAAGCCAATCATGCTCCAGTAGGATTTTGATAACATTCATTTGTTCACTTACACTGTCATAAACCCATTAGGAACAGGATAAATTCCCCCTGTTTAATGCTGATGGCTGGAGAGGATGCAAGATGCTGCAATGCCATTTCTAGATTTTCAGGTAAATAAAATATAAGGGGAGAAGATGTATTTGGTATATCCTAACAGTTAGAAGACTAAAGAATCAATCTGATCTACCTAAAACATTCTGCTATGACAAAGTATTTCACAATATGCAGCATGTCTGAAAATTGTTGACGTGAACACATTGTGACCATGTTACATTATCAACAGCAGTGTCTCAGCTTTGATATGCTGCACTGATGAGTGTAGAAAGAGCCAATTTCCACATGCACCTGCCCCAGCATGGATCCAGGTTACATCATTTTTCCTAGCCCAAAAGCTGGGAACTCACAGCCTCTCGGGTCTAAAAGACAGAGGTACTGGAGAAAAAGGGGCAAGATTTGAAGTTCATCACTAGCTAACGTTCAGTCAACAACATCTGGTTTGAGGTTTGGCTAGAGATAACAATCTTCAAAGATCTTCAGCTAGGGAACTATGAAGTTTTGGTGGCTTACACAACTCTTAGCTGTTGGCTCTGCAGTTAAGAATAAATCAACTTTCACTGCCTACTTATAAGAAAAATGAAAGCCTTTCTATTCTATCCACCCCATTTGGCCTTTTCAATCTCAAACTTTTCCAAAAGAGTATTTTAATCTTTTCCTCTGCCTCATATTTACATCTTAACTGGGAAAGACACATTTAAATTTGTGCTGAATGTTTAAACTCAGTATGTCTGAAAAGGTTGATGTGATAAAGTTCTAAGTGTGACTTTGCAGGACACCATTCTTCTCTCTTGGTGGGCACTTTGGGATACTAAAACTCACAGACATAACTACTTATCCATATCTGTAAGTAAGATATACAAGCTGAAGCAATATTTCACTTGTGTATAAGATTTCTGAATATACTAAAAAAAAAAAAAGATTCTGAAGAACACAGATGGCCACGAATCATATGGCTGAAAAATATAATAGAAAATTTTTGATTCAGACTTTGGAATCTGTCTTCACCAGTAAGGACTCCAGCCACACCACCCAAGAAACAGAAGGCAAAGGTGGGGGCTGGGAGAATGAAGAACCACCTATTTTAGGAGTTTTGAGACCATCTAAGGACATTGAAAGTGCACAAGTCCATGGGATCTGATGAGATGTATCTGTGGGTCCTGAGGAGCCGGCAAATGAAGTAGCTAAGCCACTCTACCCATCACAGTTGGGAAATCATAGCAGGCTGAAGTTCCTGTGGACTGGAAAAGGGGAAACATAACACCCATTTGTGAAAAGGGAATAAAAGAAAACCCAGAGAACTACAGGCCAGTCTCACCTCTGTGTCCGGCAAGCTCATGATCCTCTAGGAAACTATGCCAGAGCACATAGAAAATAAGGAGGTGATTGGTGACAGACAACATGGCTTCAGTAAGGACAAACTGTGCCTGACAAATCTGGTGGCCTTCTGCGACAGGGTTACAGAGTTCATGGATAAGGGAAGAGCAACTAATGTAATCTACCTGGACTTGTGCGAAGCATTTGGCATGACATCCTTGTGTCTAAATTGGAGAGACGTGGATTTGATGGATGGACCACTCACTGGATAAGGGATTGGCTGGATGCTCACACTCAGAGTTGTGGTCAATGGCTCCATGTCCAATGGAGAGCAGTGATGAGTGGTGTCCTCATATGTAATGCAGAAATTCTTCCCTGTGAGGGTGGTGAGGCCCTGGCACAGGTTGCCCAGAGAAGCTGTGGCTGCCCCCTCCCTGGAAGGGTTCAAGGCCAGGCTGGATGGGGCTTTGGGCAACCTGGGCTAGTGGAAGGTGTCCCTGCCCATGGCAGGGGGGTTAGAACGAGGTGATCTTTAAGGTCCCTTTCAACCCAAATTGTTCTATGATTCTATGAGTAATAGTCAAATTGATTCTAGTTGCATTTGAAGTTATTAGGTAATTCTAATTCCTCCCAATTCTTCTTGTCCTATGACCAAAGAAGCATAGAATTTGTTGAAAAAGAGAGAATATAAAATCTCTAGCATAGGAAGAAGACATCCACTTCACAATTCTTTTTTATTCTTTCCTCTTTTCATCTAACTCTGAGCTACATAAACGAGAAAAAAGGTTTGGCTTCCATTGAGCACTCCTACTTAGTTTTCACAAAACTTAATAGAAGTACATTACACTGTAAAGTGGAAAAAATCCTCCATAAAACCAGCATAAGTTAGTTTTCTACATCTGTAAAAGATAAAATTTGGAATATGTGGTTTCTCCATTTGTCCACGAGCCTTTTAAACAACAATAATCCTGCATCTCAGCTGGTGAGTTCTTTACTGATAAGGCAAGTAAATACATGTAATTATAAAGTTACCATTTTCAAAGAGGAGAGTAATCCTTTCTTTATCCACCGGTAAAACAGCTTGTAATCATTATACAACTGAGAACAAAGATTTGTCCACAGAATCCCGCTAAATCAGGACAGATTTGACTGATTAAAACTCTAGTTATCAAGACATTTGTGCAGTGCACGCGGGCAAAGAGTCTTTAAAGTGCAGGTCACAAATCTGTTAGATTTATGGGAATAATCATGAACCTTCTGTTGGAAAAATGTTCAAGACAGAAATCCAAAAAAGTGCTTGTCCTTTTTTTTCTCCTTTTGAAGTGTAAAATGTTATCAGTGATGTTCTAAAAAGTCTTGGGTGGCCTTATTACTTCCACAGTACTCATTATTAATTAAACAATCCTTATATGTTTAGATAACCCAGTGTGAGTTCAAAGAACAACAACGAAGACGATTAAAGATCCAGAGGGATTGAATTCTGAGGAAAGATTAAAAGAACTAAATATATATTTATTGCTTGGTTGGGTGATTAAGGAGGCAGAGAAAGCAGGAGATACAAACTAACGGTTTCGAAGTACAACATCTGAAGGTTGTAAACATCATAGCTCTTCATTTAGGATGAACTGATGGGTAACGTGAGGAGTGATAGAAGGAATTAAAAGACTTTTGTGATAAATATTATGCAGAAGTGGGAGTTTGTTGTATTATTCTGGGTCAGAGTTTCCTACAGAAAACGTGGTATTGCTGTCTCCAGAGTCAGCAGCTAGTCTAGGAGAAGCATTATTACAAACCTAGTAAAGAGTAAGCAGTCATGGGAAGATGGTCCACAAATGATGCCTGCATTAAAGCCTGTCTTTGACATTCTGAAGATTCAGCTTTGATCTCTGTGGGTAAAGCAGCACACGACTCAAAGGTTGCAGGCACAAGAGTAACTGGCACCATGCAGTCACCTCTCCAACCCCAGGCAGGAGCACTCCTGCTCCACACCTCCTCTTCCAAATTCCACGGTGCAGTAGCACTGGGACTCTCTTTATTCAGCCCAGGGACTGCTTTGCCTTTTGCTATCTCCCAGAAGTTGCATTAAAAAAAAAAAAATCACCCTTATTTGTGTACAGTCATGGAAGTATCAAAAGTATTAGAGAAAGATTAAGAAAACCCAGTGGCTGACCTAGCAGACTACAGTTTAAAATGAGCAAGTTGATTTTCTTGTTTCTCTCATACAGGTTTCCAATACTGCAATAGAAACAACTTGCAACTACCTTGTTCGTAAGGAAAAGTAGTGGCTTCTCCAATATCTCCACTTAAAAAAAAATCACAGCTACAATAGATAGGAAGTCTTGCAGATCTCACAGATAAACTTTCTCCCAGCCATGACAGACAGGAAAAGATTTTTGCTATAACAAAAAGTTATACGACATTGCCTAGAGCTGATAACAATGAGATTTTTATATTATGAAACTTTCCTGCTTCTCACCAACATACATCAGTCTCTCCTTCATCCATATTAAATTACCTACTTACTATCTTAAGGTGTTTAGTGGTGCTGCATCATCCAAAGAAAAAGTTCACATTTTGTTTCTAAAATCCATTTTAGTGTATTTTAATTTTCCTGCACTTACCACAACAAAAATCTATTCATGTTAAACCAAGAAAGCACTCTGGAAATAATTCCAACCCTACAGCGAAATGCACAACAGAACTTTTACAGGACAAAATTGCACGTCACAGGCTGTGGTCTCCCCTGACGTGAACTACGATACATGTGTAATGTAGCACAAGAATGAGGGATGGGAAAACCCTGCTTTCTCATGAAACGCAAAACAAGTAAACCACACCCCTCCCCATAACCAAAGGGCATAATGGGTAATCTGTATCTTCATGAGTCCTGGTGACTTTATTTTTTTGAAAAGTAAAGTGTCTGGTGTATTCAGAACTTTTATTTCTCCTCCGTCTATCACAGTGTTAAAAAACCTTTTGTTTTGTATCTTAGGCACATAAAGGGATGCATTTCCTCCTTTCATCACCAATACTGAGCAACAGGATATTTTATGCCCTTTACACACACTCAAAACATGAATATTGACGTTTTTGAGGAACAGGCCTTAAAAAACATCCAAACAGAACAACCTCTATTTTCCAAATCTACTTAGCAAAAAGGAAATGTTTTAAGCTCACCAGACTTGTGTGCTGATTTCAATCAAAGCACTTTTTCATTCAGTGGCAGAAGAATAATCTTCCTTCCTCTTTCAGGGTATTTCTCAGAAATTAGAGACAGAACTCCATATCCACTGCCATTATATTAAAGCCAGTAACTCCCAAGGAGTGCTCTTCCTTACCTCTCTATTCCTTTTTTGTTTCCAGTTTAACAATGCTGGATGTACTACAAAACCAAAATTCCTTACCATTACCAAATCTTCTGGTTTTTAATGGATTTTAGCTGGATTGGATATTTGGGCAGAAGAACATGTTACAGTGATCCCTCTCTCACGAATACTGTTTCTAACATCTTTCTTTTAATTAAGGTATTGGAGCAAATTTAAGTAACTGTATGTTGCTGCAGGTTTAGCAATAATGGAATTGCATTCAGTAAAAAAAATAAATTGAAAAAGAAATACCTTCCAGTAAACAGAAACTTGCAGCATCAAAATAATTTCTATTTGCATTGCGAATCTTACAAACAAAACCATAACACTTTCATTGCAAAATTCATTGCTTCAAGTACCACCAGGGATCAGGAATACAGAAATACGTAAGGAAAGAGTTTATTGACTTCAGGTCATGCTATGGATGAAAAATTGGACATATTCTTATTGTGTGGGACTAATCTGTTTAGAGATCAAAGAAAGCCAAGGTGGATTACTGTGCACCCAAGGGACAATTTTTGTCTGAAACCATTAGCACTCACCTTCCAGTCTGACCACCAGAGGTACTTTCAGCTCAAGCTCTCGGCAGGCTTTGGTAATACCATTGGCTATAATGGCACAGTTCACAATCCCACCAAATATGTTTACAAGTATTGCTTCAACCTGTAGGAAAGAAACAGAGCAGGAACTGTGTGGGGGTTTTAGTTTGTGCATTGGGTTTTTTTGTGTGTTTTTTTTTTTTTTTAATTTTTTTTTAAATAAACACAGGTAAAAGATCCAAAGCAGGATACAAAGTCCCCTTTGTCAGGCAAATTCTCATTTATAGAAGGTACAAGCTTCAACTCTATCAGCTTCATAGAAGTTGATTCTGAGTCTATTGTTTCTGTGGCATGTAGCAGTGATTAATTGCCTTGGTCTAAACTGGCATGGTAATTAATGTCATAAACACATTATTACACACAAAAAAAGGGAATTTCTATTAATAGCTATAAATAAAAAGAGATTAAACAATCTGTATTTTGGACTTTTTTCAATGTATTGAATGATCATCAGAGGTTGAAGCTCAGAAAAAAACAGCGTGGATGCGCATGCAATGAAATATTCATGTGGAAACTTCAGAAAACAATCTGGATACACACTTTATCATAAGCAGTAGGGAGGAAAAGGTAATATACTTGCCCTGACTTAATAAAGAGGAGTAAAAATCCCTTCTAATAAACAAGGAGAGGCATGTAATGAAGAGCATTCATTACAACAGATTAACTAATAACCTCAAAAACCTGCTATTCATCAGTTTCTGGAAACTCCTGCACCCAATTCACAATTAAATTACCCTTCACAACATGCAGGACATTAATATATACAAGATATGGTTTCTTTCCACTTGGTAAGGGAGTATAATATTGAACCCAAGTTTATATACCAGGCTTCCCACCATGGCCTATTAAGTCAAGGGGGCCACAATACAGAAGCAGCTATGCTGTTTCTCACTTCACAGTGGGGCTAATGCACAACATTTGGGGTACTCTACGATAAGCTTCCCTGGGTGTCACAAACAGGCTTTGCCAGAATCATGTGGACTCAAAAGACAAGAAGAGAAAGAGGGGATTAGGTTTGAAGGAATGAAATATCACTGTATTTCACTTGTGCATCATGTCAACCGCAATCATCCTTAACTCACTGCACACGATGAACAGATCCACTTTGCCCACCTCCAGGTAGCCAGATTCATACCAGTACTAAGAAAATTCCCTGCAGTCATCCACATTTATAGCTCTGCACAATCAGGTTTAATATTTCACTGCAGACAAAACGTGACAATTAACTCCTGTGATGTGCAGTCACACACACAGATTGAAAGCTCACCATTAGTAATACAGCCATGCACAATGCAGCAATAAAAAAAGGAAAAAAAACCACACTCAACAAACACTTTACTTTCCACTTTATCATCTCACTCCTTAAGCAGTACCCTAGATGGCAAAACCATCACTCGCTAGAAGCATAAGCGGTGCTTACATTGCACTACCAAACTCCAGTGCTAGCACAACAGCTGTAAAATGAAGACGGCAATGGGACACCTCACCGGCAGCTCTCTCATCACCTGCTAGCTCCAAGACTTCTGCCTCCAAGACTTTTCATGATTCCATCCAAAAGTGGTCAGAACAGTTCCCATCTGACCATATGGGACACAGTCCCATTTTCTCCTCTCAAGCGTCTTACACATCAACTCTTTTCATCTGAGTTTTCCAGTGCTGGTGTGATAGGATGCTGCCTGCCCCTGCTACTTGTCTCCTCTTACTATGCGCAGCAGAGTCCTCCAGTTAAGATTTGCTCATTCTTCTAGGCATCCTGATACTACAAACAGAATTCTCATGTGCCTTTTCAAAGCGCGAAGCATCTTTAACGCTACATAAATAGAATAATTATTAATAATAAACTCCCTTAAAAATCCTGCTATCCAAATTCCTCCCACTGAAATTAGGTATGAAGATTCGGTACACATGACACCAACAGCTTTGGTTCATAAAGCCTGCACAGTAACAGCCCACATATGGCTCATGACGTGGCTTCTTCCTCACAGGCACAGCACACCAGGTACCAGAAGAAAATGAATAATCCAGTCAAATCAGAACATACAATTTAATTGATTTTATAACTCTTTCTTATAGTTTAGACATGGGCCAACATTTTAATGTCATGTTAAATGCATGAATTTACCAGCTTAGGGTTTTCCAGACATTCAGTTGGTGATGCCATTGCAATTATTTACTTCACTTTTGCATTGTTATGAAATCCTTAACTCTGTAGAGCCTACCAACAGTGAAACCTTAGAAGGCCCCTTCTCTGCCTTGTTCCTCCTGCTTGTGCACATGCAAACGTTCTTGGTGTTAGGAAGTAAAAACACACAATGAAAAACATTGAGCCTTATCACACTAACCCTTACGGTAGAGAGATATCTATGCAAAGCACTTTGATGTTAAAATACGCTAGTGATGGATTCTAACAGTGGGAGAAGCCACAGACACCATTCTGCCCTTTCTAATGTATGTTCCTAACTCGGGGACATTGCGCTAGGCATGTGACGGATCAACTTAACCAAGTGTGTTTACATTATTAGAGATAAGGAGGAGGATTTTATGCCCAGTACAGATATTTTAATTCCTAATGCAGACATTCTCATTTAAGGATTCGCTTTTCAGCTTTCAAGCTGAATTCTAATCAGGTCTTCTAATCCATTGGCAGAAAAAGGAAAAAAAAATGTTGAAGGAAATTAGATGCAGCTTCGATAATTGATGTTTGTATGCTTGGCTTTAATAAAAATACACTGTTAAATTAGAGAGAAGTCTAAAAGGATTCAATCAATAAGAAACTGAATCAGGTATAGAATTCAATCTTGGGTTTTATTGTAATCTTCCAAATAAGCCAAAAGATCAGTCCAAATGATGCTGAGATTCACTTTAACTCCGCTAGAATTTGTGAACATTGTTTATATATGCTTCTGTAGCCTGACTAGATCTTGCATTTCCAGCTGAAAGAACTTGAACATTCAGACCCAATAGATGGATGAAAAGGTTTTCAGTATTTCATGTGCACAGGGAATGCACAATCTCTGTATTATTTAAGTCTGTATGAAAAATGAACCTCCCGTTGTATAGCAGAACCATTACATGTTAACATGCTCTGTATCTGGTGCATATGGACTATTAGACATATCAAGGAGGGCAAACTGTCTACATACAAGGCAGGTTACGTGACAGCATTATTATTCTAATAACCATTTTTACCCAACAGCATGCCTTGTAAAACTATTCTGTATTTCAGCAACATTATTAAGGAAACTAAAGACAGCAGTATATCCACAGGTTAGGGTTTTTTTCCATCCACCAAAACAATTGACAAATGTGAAATCCCCATCAAATGTACTCTTTCAGCTGATTGTGGACTCCTCTGGAGAAATAAGGGAACCCACAGCAGCATGAAGACATCACCATCAATGGCAGGAATAACCTGCAGTCTGTCAGGTCTAAGCACCAATGCTGGGCAGCAAAAGTGATGGAAACTAGGTGAGTGCTGCATTATCACTGTCCTCATGATAGATATGGTATTGAATCTTTCCAAATACCCATTAATCCCACAGCTCCTAAATACTATATGAACATATATGCAGACATACAGCCTATTTCTCTTTATATATGGAATTAAATGTATATATGTATTGCTATATCCATATAAAATCTATATTGCTTTATTAATAAAACTAAAAGGTTTAATTTACAGTGACCTTTTGTTAAAGTGAGCCTGGACAAAGCCTGCAATTCTGCTTTGAATGTTTGGTACCAAAAAAACCCCACTCCAAATAAATGTAATTGTATACTACCTGAAGTAATGGTGCCAGGAGATTACTGTTGGAATTGTATTGGATCACCAACAAAATCCACAAGGCTGCCAGGTTCCACACAACTAAGTGCATTCTACATTCAGCAGAAGCAGCTCTAGCATACCTGCCTGCACTCTAAAACACAGATATAGTGTATGTGCATTTATTCTATTTTCTTCCTTTTTTTTTTTTTTCCCTCTAAAATCTTCTTAGCCTTAACAAAATGCACACTGACATCTGATCATCATACACTTAAGGATTAATACTGGCAGCACCTATAAAGCATTCCACCTTTCCAACAGCCCATTTATAAATCTATAGAAAGGACGTCTCGCTGTCTGCAGCCCCTGCTTTCCTGTCTGCTGTCCGTCAGAGTCTGAACACCACAAATTCTGTACACAAAAAGAGAGAGGACAAAAACTTGACACTTGCAAGTTGTTATTTTTCTTTTATTTTCCACCTTTGTTAATACCACGGAACAATTATTACAGGCTAAGGATAACAATGCACCGTAGCGCTGAACAATGCAGGTACCTCAATACAAGGTAAAGCTCTGAATCTTACACAAAACAGAAATCCAAACACAAATGCAAATTAACTTCGGTTGAGGTTTTGTAATCATTCGAAGTACGGGGCAGCCACCAAAGAAGCTGTTTTGTCTTCCCCCTCCCTCCTCCTGCCCATGAACACCCCACTCCTGGGCTCGTACCAGCACTGGGGCCGGGCGATGCCGAAGCAGCTCCTGGATCTGCCTGACCCTGCAGACACACCACCACTGGCCCTGAAGTGAGGAATAAGCCCCAACATACTGTTAGGACCCGGGATGAGGTGGGAATGTGTAAATCAATTGTGAAACCATTTTCTTAGCTGTTGCCTTTCAGGATCAGAATGAATATTAGTTATCTACAAAGATGTGAGGCCATGAATACAACTAGAGAAATTTCCCCAAATCACCAAGACCACAACTGTACAAGCTGTACTCTTCTGTACACTACTGAAAATGTATACTGGAAGATAAGTGTGTGGGTTTTTTAAAATATGTGTTTTAAAACACGTTTTAACAAAATATTTCAAGATGACTCAAAACCATAATTATTCCAATATTCAGATCCCTTTAATCAAAGTTTCTGCTACTCTATTTTTAATGAGAAACTCTTCCAAAAAAACCCCACATCATCTCATCTGATGACAGCAGGAAAGACTTGCAACAGTTCTCCAACTATTAGCAGTGTCAGATGCATGCCCTGTGACTTTGTATGCATCGCTCCCTGTTATGCACACA